ATTTTGCGTAAGAATAAACTTTTTTAAAAGATTTTATTTTAATTTTTCGCAAAAAATTTAATTATTTTGAAAATTTTGGATTTATTTTTTTGTAAAAATTAAATTATTGCAGGTTAAAAATTATAGAATTAAGTAAGAAATAACGCATAAGGAATATTTTTAATTGACAAAAATTTTGTTTAATTGCTTTTCTAATATTGAAAGCATTTTATTATACATTAGAATTTTCATTAATTTTAAATATTAAAATATTAAAAAGAATAATAAATTAATTATAAAAAAAACTAGAGAACAAAATGCAAACAGAAACAACTAACTTCAAATTGCGAATAGATGTGAAGTCAAATTAAGTAAGGAAAAAAATAAAGTTTAGTTTAATGCTTATCTATTAACTTTCTAATTTAATATTTTCATTTTTAATAATTTATTTATTCTTATTTTTTAAAGATTCAATTAATAAATAATATTAGAAATTAAATTATTTATTGTAATGAGAAAATTCAAATATCTTTGTGAATCCTTTTTTAAATTATCCCGCCATTAGTGACGCCAACCAATGAGATCACTTGAAGCTTAAAAGGATCCGAAATATTCTTCCCTACACATGGTTGATTAGGTTAGTTGGTTAGGTTGTTTCTTTCTGCGTTGTGAACCCGGGTTCTACCCCCAGTCCCTCCAAATTTATTTTCAAAATTATTCTTCAATAATATAATATTGATATTGAGGAATAAATAAGTAATCAGTTCGCGGCAATAAATAAATTATAGAGAGAAATATTTTTTATTTTATATTTTTATTAAATTTATAAATACTATTTTTTTAGCAATAAGTAAACTGAAATATTAAATAAGTTTAAGTGCAAATTAAATAGATAATTACGGAAATTCCGTAAATGATTATTTGTATAATATCAATTTATATTATATTACTTACCTTATGACGCTTACTAGAAACTAACTTCTAATGCTTACAGATACTTACCAGAGATAGTTTTAAAGAACTCTTCTCTACTTGTTTTCAGAAAAGTTTCTTAGATAACTTTCTGCAAGCTAACACGGAAAACTAAAAAGCGTAGGACATTTATAGGCCAAGGGAAGCTAACGGGAAGCTAACCATGTTAGCTATAGAAGCTAACATGGTTAGTTTCCCGCAAAATATGGTGCTATGTGGGATGTGACTGTTAGCAAATCCGTTAAGGAGTTTAGTCTATACGTTTGTCTAACTGTCAAGAAATCCAATTATTTCAAAAAATATTTAATGTATTGAAACCTGAAATATATTATCGAGATTTTAAACCAATTAATAATATTCCAAAATATTTTGCAAATCCGTTTAGAAATTTAGTTTTCTTTGCTTTAATTCTATAAGATTTTAACCAAATTAATATATGAATTGAAATAAGAGAAATCTTCTTAAGACAGAAATATTTTTTTCAGTGTAGGCTCTACATTTGTCAAAATTTAAAAATAATCGAATTGTTTTCGGAAAAATCTAAATATTTCAAAAAATACGAAATGTTTTAAAATTGCCTGAAATATATATCGAGATTTTAAACCAATTAATAATATTCCAAAATATTTACAAATCCGTTCAGAAGTTTAGTTTTCTTTGCTTCAGTTCTATAAAAGTATCCAAAATATTGAATAACCTTATCATAATTCTTTCTTTTATCATTCTTTATCCATCAAAAAAATTGAGCAAAATCAGTGAAGATTTACTCGAGTTATTCGATTTTATCGATAAACAGTTGATATTTACAAAAATAAATTTCTAATTCGTTAAAAAAATTTACAAAAAAAGTAAGAATCCGACAGTAGTCGGCCACTTAAGGCAATCTTTTTAATTAACAATGTTTTAAAAGTGCCATTTCATATTTTTTTTCGAATTCTTTTATGTAATGTTGTTCCTTACGATCACACAAAACTATTAAAACAATCATGTTTATAAAAAATAAATTTTTATTCGTTAACAAAATTAGTAAATAAACAAGTAAGATTCTGACAGTGATCGGCCACTTAAAAAAGCTTTCAAAAACCGTACAAAATTTTTTTTTCAATTACAAAAGCTTAGATTTGTTTATAATCACCTTAGAAATGATTATCAACAAACAAAATATTTTTATTTCATACGGTTTTATAGCTATTCAAAATTGAAAAGTGGCCGACTACTGTCTGGTTTACCCTATACACGGTTTTTAATTTTTACTTAGCGGCAATTCTCTACCACGAATCTTGATATAATTTTCTAAATAGTTTTTTATTAGGGGAGAGTCTCCAGTTGTGAGACAGTCAATTTTTTTAACATGCAATATTAAAAAGCCGATTGGCTTATATAAAAACATTTCTTTTTATATGAGCCAACTTTTTCGTGTACGCCGAAGCGGATATATAAACTGTTTTTGTTAAATACCAACACTGTGTGTGATAATCGACTAAAAAGCGTTTTTTCAATAAATGCAAAGTACTTTTTTTCCAAGTTAATTAATTAGAAAAGGTAAATGTAATGCATTTTCTTTTAGTGTTTTCCTTATATTTTGTGATGCAATATTGCATTGTTCCAATCTACGGTTGAAAATAATTTAATTTTCCTTTTTCAAAATAGTGCCAATTTCTGGGTGTGAGACACAGCATATCACCAGTTGTGAGACGGTGTCAACACCCATCTGGGCAGCATAAAAAATACGACTTTGCAAGCATGTCAAGTGGAAAAAAGTCAATTGATTCAGAAGAAATCAATTTTAATGCTCTTGTTGAAGCTCATAAATTGTGTTTATTTGATAGTCATATTTTGTCAAATAAATATTATTATTTAGTATATACACTGAGAGAAAAGAAGGTACACTGCTGTTCATTTGGAGGTTGTGTATCGCAATTCAAATTTGGATCAACCTCCAAATGAACAGCAGTGTACCTTCTTTTCTCTCAGTGTAATAATATATATTATTAATATATTTAATTATTTCCACTAAACATAACGTTTTATGTCAAACTTATTAAATTTTAGCAATTTTTAATGAGTGTCTCACAACTGGAGACATTTTTTTTTGACAAAAGCGATGTGCTAGGAAAATGTATCGTAACATTTTTTGAGTTCATCGAAATACTACACTTTCTTTTAATAAAAGTTGCGTATTTCTGTTACCTTTCGAACGGTGTATTTTATTTACAATTTCGTTTACCCGTTTACAATTTACGGGTCAAAAATAAAACCCGTCTCACAACTGAAGGCTCTCCCCTATTTTTAAAATTCTTTTACGTATAGAAATGGAAAAAAATTCATTTCTTTAACCCTTTAACGCCCAAATGTGCTGATTTTTAACTTCGGTTTCAAGCTTATAATATTAAAAGAAAAAAATTATTAAAAATTCTACAAGGACATGTCCATATGTTTTTGGGGTCGCTCTTTCGAATGGCATGGTCAAAATTTCCAAAAAGTGACGTTTAACCCTTATTATTTTCAAAAATACTCAAAAAATATAAAATTTTGGGAAGTATTTTTTTAAATCCAATTTTAGTTGTGATACCGATACAATTTTCCAAAGTTCTTGAAATCGCTTGAAATCTGTTACTTGAGGATTTTCGAGGTCGCTGATTACGAATCTGAAGTCAGATTTTAAAAATTCAAAATGGCGAATTCAATATGGCGGACAATAAAATTAAAAATGCATAGTATTCGCTTGAAATTTGATACTCGGGTGTTTTCGGGGTCGCTGATTACGAACCTGAAATTAGATTTAAAAAATTTAAAATGGCGGATCCAATATGGCAGACTAAAAATTAAAAATGCATCGCCTTCGTTTAAAATTTGTAACTTGGGGGTTTTCGGGGTCGCTGATTACAAATCTGAAGTCAGATTTAAAAAATTCAAAATTTCGGATCCAATATGGCGGACGACAATATTAAAACTTCATGTATTGGCTTCAAATTTGTTACTCGGAGGTTTTCGGAGTCGCTGATTACGAATTTGAAGTCAGATTTAAAAAATTCAAATTGGCAGATTCAATATGGCGGACCACAAAATTAAAAATGCATCGTATTAACTGCTCATGCCCTGTTAAATATTCTAACATACGATAACGTCTTTGTAGCCAATAGGATAAAGTTTTAATTTTATCATCCAGCTATATTGAATCCGTCATTTTGAATTCTTAAAATCTGATTTCAGATTCGTAATCAGCGACCCCGAAAACCCCCAAGTAACAAATTTGAAGCGAATACTATGCATTTTTAATTTTATTGTCCGCCATATTGTATCCACCATTTTGAATTTTTTAAATCTGACTTCAGATTCGTAATCAGTCACTTTTTTGACCATGCCATTCGAAAAAGCGACCCTAAAAACGTAGGGATATGTCCTTGTAGAATTTTAAATAATTTTGTTCTTTCAATATTATGAGCTTGAAACTGAAGTTAAAAATCAGCACATTTGGGCGTTAAAGGGTTAATACAAATTGAGATTTATTTGAATCTAACACTGCTTTGTTTTGATGCAAATAAATTGAGTATTTGGACTATATTTAAAGCAATTAAAAGTATATTAGTCTGAATTAACATAATAAATTATGAAGAATAATTGCATATTTGATACAAATAAGTATTTAGTTATTTTAAAAACAATATTTTATTGATGCAAATAAATATTTATTTGAATTAAAAACCATGCATTATTGAATCAAGTAATTTTCCTATAACTGATTTAAAGTAATATTTATTAGATCCAATTATTTGACTCAAATAATTCGAATTTGCTACAAATAACTATATATTTGATACTATAAATTAAAATATTTATATCCAGTAAATATTTACTTAGCACAAATAAATAAAAACAAAGAAATAAATAAAAACAAATAAGTTTAATTACAACCGAACGAGCGTTAGCGAGTGAGGTATATGTAGCTAGTGAAATATTAAAATGTGAGAGAAATTTTTTGTGTGCAGTTACTAATAGACATTAATCATATTATAATTATAGTGAATAGTAGGAGGAAGAAAACTGACTTTTTTCCACTCTCAGGATCATCACTTGTCTGAGGTATGTATGGTCGAATTTTCCTAATAATAACAATTCCCCCAGTAATGGTAGCTAATGTGTCGGCAGTTTTCACTGGATCCGGATGTTCTTCAGGCATTACAAAATACACAATGCGATCACCCATCTCAGTTCCTCTGAACACTCGTATTTGCGTCTGACTTGAAAGATGTGGTACACCTAAAGGATGCCAAAAGCTTTTTTTCAATTTCACACGTCTTATTAATATACTCTCTTGTTGTCACATAAAAAGCTTTTTATATAGAATTTATTTCTCTCGTATTTCTTTCTTCTTTTTTATTGCAGAGAAACATTTTTTAATTTTATTTAGTTTAGTGTAGTATAACAATGTTATTCAACCCTCCATAGCAAGGATTATTCAATTATGTACATATTTCTGGAATATTCAGTCATTTTTCAGGAATATCCAGTCATTTTCCTGAAAAATTTCTAGAATATTCAATCAATTTCCTTGAATATTTCTGAAATTGGAATATTAAATCATATTCCTAGAATATTCCATTAGAATGTTCATTGAAACATTAGGAATATCCCACACAAACATTTTAGAAATATTAAAATGTTAGACCATTGCCATACTTCTTTGTCAATAGTGTAGGAATATTCCCACAGATTGTGATGAGATTGCAATGAAAATTGTAAAACTATTTTTCTAGGGAATATTATTAGTATTATTGCTGATGCACTAATCAATTTTTACGATACTTAAATAAATTATTAAATTATTTTATACTGAAAAATTTGTAAACTCAAAAGTAACATTCCATTGGAATATTCCTAAAATAAGCAGTGAAATAATTTTACTGCTATTAAGTAATAGAATATACCTACATTATTCCAATGGAACATTCTAAAGATTGGACATTCAATATTTCTTTCGAATGGTTGAAATATTCTCAAGGTTTAAAAAAAATTCTAAAGAAATACCTATTATGGGGTTATTCACATATCACGTGATAGATATTTTAGGTATTTTAGACCCCCTCCTGTGTGATACTTTTTCTATAGTTTAGTATAGGAAATTTTTTAAACCTTCTGTACCTTCTGTACTAAAAACTATTCTAAAAAATATATAAAACATCATATGGTGTAGATTTTTCAAGAAAATTTAATAAAAAAAATACGTTTGAATTTTAAAACTTATTTTTCTGTTAAAAAGATTGTTCCAAATTTTTTGAATTTTTTTGGTCCAAGTTTGATGGCCTGCATTTTCTAAGAAAAAATTACACGTTAATGCCTATAAGTAATTCTTATAGTGCAGTTTATAGTTTGTGTTCATTATTTTAGAAGTTATTCAAATTTTTGTAAAACATTGAAAATAACGATTTTTCAAAAATATCTAAATAAATTATTGGCCAAACGACTTCTGAAATATCTTGTTCTTTTCCAAATTTTATCATCTTTCAGAAAACGAACAGAAAAGAATTTTAGTTTCAATAAATTTTATGTTTTAAAACATTTTTCAATCGCCTGAAAATGGGTGGTCTCTTAATTTTCACCGGTAGTGTAATCTGTTAATGGAATTTTCCAATATTAATATTCTAAATTTAAAAAATTCTTATGTGTGACCTGGTCTATGAAAAATTAAAAAGACCTAACGTGCGGAAACCAGTTTACGAGAAAACAGCAGTTAAAATTTAAACTTAGAAAAACCCTGGTATCTTTTTTAAATATTAATATTTTTTAATCAAGTTTGGCTTATTTTCTTCAGTGTAGATCACAGTATCAAAATAAAAAACGTAGAAGTAATAAAAAAAAGTTTTCATAACGCAATCATAAAAATGGCGTTATTTGTCTCTCCGTAGGCCAATGTAAAGTTATTCTTTTTAGTACGTAGTTACGAAAATACTGCGAATGACAGTTCAGTTCAAAAAAGAGCTTTGTTTGTGCTTGTTCGAGTATTTTTGTAACGCTCGAGTAGTTGCAATTCCGTCCAGAAGAGGCGTGATTATGTTTTCGTTCAGTTAACTACATTTACCGTGTCTTACAGCAGCAACTCAGTATCTATCAAATACTGAGAGTTTCTAACCTCCTTTTCGTGATCACTCGTGTGAAAAATTCTGTTTTTATTCTTTAATGATATTATTTTTATTAATACGTCGAAGTACACGACTAGGTTTCGGGGGGCTTCGCCCCCCGACGCGTCCGGTGGCTTGGGGTATTATAAAATGCGATTCTTTGAAATGTCGAATATTATTATTATTCTTTTGAGTTGGTTTTTTTGTAGTCGGGGGGCTTCGCCCCCCGAACCCCCCCGCGCGATCAGCTAGTAAGTACGCTTGACAGTGGTTCTGTGTTCCGAATCTTATGTTTGCGTTTCTCAACATTCTTTTCAGTTATATATGTTTTTCAGTGTCAACGCCTTTTTATGATTTTGTTATGAAAAGTATCGTGCGCAACACGTGTGGCGGCATTTTGGAACTCGCGCTTCTTTTTCGTAACTCGTCTCCGGTGAGGGCGCCTTCGGCGCCCTCACCTACGACTCGTTACGAAAACTTAGCGCTCGTTCCAAAAAGGCCGCTAGTTCACACTTGTTACGCAATGTACTATTTTTTAATCATTTTTCTTATGAATTAATAACAAAATCCCCAAACATCGAAAAAATAATCTAAGTTTTCCAAATAGCAACAATTAGTATAAATAAGTCATACATGTTTGTAAGGGTTTTCGAGGCTGCTGATTACGAATATGATGTGTTTCAGAATTTCTCAAACGGACCACTTTAAAAAATAGTATATTAAGCAACAAGGGTATAAAGGCAGCCATTTGTTTACGGTGATTTTTGTGACACGAGTGGAGGTCGAGGGCGCCCCGAGACCTCCACTCGTGTCACAAAAATCATCGTAAACAAATTGGCTGCCTTTATTCCCGTGTTTCTTATAATATTTTTTATTCCTAATGCACAAAAGTGGCGATTTCAGATAGCAGACGACAGGGAGTAAAAGTCATTCACTTGTTCGACTTATATAAAAATGGCGGCCGTTTTCTCCCATTGGCAAAAATAACGCATGGGATCAGCTGTTATGTTTGCCTCTTGGGAGAAAATGGACGCCATTTTCATATGGTCGAACAAATGAGTGACTTTACTCCCTGTCGTCAGCTATCTAAAAGCGCCATTTTTATGCATGTGGGATAAAAAATAATTTTTTATCCCACATGGGCAAGAAAATCAGCTGTTTCCATGCATTTTTCTTGTCCATGGGAGAAAACGGCCGCCATTTTTATACAAGTCTCAAGTCCAACGCACAATACGTTCGCGAAAGTCGTTCGCGAACGAGATGCATCACAGGCGCGAAGTGACGCCGAGTTCAGGCTTTATAAAGATTGGCCGAGCATTGGTCAACATGGATTGAGCATGAGTGAATCAGCGAGAGCAAGAATGATCGAAGCTTTAATGTAACACCCGATTCCAGACTGCAGCGCGAGCCTTGATTCAGCATTGGCACCAATGCTCAATCAATGCTGCGGACGCCTAATGAAGGACTGAAACAAGACTGCTTCCACTGTTCCCAAATTTACTCGTTTCTCACGTTTATTCAATATAATGTGAATATATAAATTATTAATAATAATAATAAATATTGAAGGAAGTGAATTTATCATTCGGTCATTAAATATTACATTTGAAGAAGTTAACAATTTTCCCGAATAAATCTACACAAATAAATTAAATATCTTAAATAAATCTCGATAAGCTCATGGGCTTCAATGTATCGACAGCACAGCTGCCCTAATACAGAAACCTGCTTAATTTGAAAAATATTTTCGAAATTAATTAATAATTTCAAAAGCTCAGTGGTCAGAGCAGTCTACCGACAATAGAAAGGTCGTTGGATCGTATCCCACCATGCTACCGTTTTTTTCTGAGTTCTTTGATAATTTTGAAATTATTAATTAATTTCGAAAATATTTTTCAAATTAAGCAGGTTTCTGTATTAGGGCAGCTGTGCTGTCGATACATTGAAGCCCATGAGCTTATCGAGATTTATTTAAGATATTTAATTTATTTGTGTAGATTGATTCGGGAAAATTGTTAACTTCTTCAAATTTAATAATAAATATTATTGTTATTATTTTAATTCATGTATGTGTTTATATACATTTAATGACAATAAGTTATTATTTGTAATAATTATATTATTTTCATATAAATAAGAATATATTACTAACAATAAATATCATTTGAATAGTAATTTAAAAAAAATAATTTTAGTAAAAAAAGACAATTTTTCTGTTAATCGTTACATTTTTTTCTTGGTTTTTAACAGACTTTTAACATTATTTATAAACATGTTACCATTTTTTATTCACAACACAACACACAATTTTATTATTTTATATAAACGCTTATAACAAAGAATGAAAAATATTCGCTCGCAGGTGGGATCGAAACTCACGTACCCAGTGCGTTAGGACGCATACCGGAAGTTCTCAACGCACGCATTTAAACCGCTCGGCCACAGAAGGCTGGAAGGCTTCTCGCCTAATCTACTATATCAATGCCAGTGCCGTCACTCAACATGGGATACCAATGTTCGTCCCATACTCGTTTCAAGTCTCAGTAATCTTGTTACAATATTCAGTTCCTTTATTGTCGTGTGCACTGTACAATATTAAATATAAATATTAATAAATTATTTAATATTAAAATATTTTTTCTGATAATTTTATAAGTTAAATTATATATATTTTTTTTCTCGCACAGTGTCAAATTATTATTTTCAAAGTTCAAGAGTTTCGTTTATCTGAAAAATTTTCAGTGAAAAAAATGTTCATTAGGTAGTAATAAATATTTATGCCTAGTAGTTTTACACTAGGTTTAACTGTTTACTGAATATTATCAAAAATATATTTTTCGTCAAACGCGCGCGACAAAACACAAATAACCTTGAAGTTGAGTCTCCAATGTGAGAGAAGGTGCGCATCGATGTTCATAGCTATAGATATACCACATCATACTTTAGTATACCTATAGCTATGAACATCGATGCGCACCTTGTCTTATTGGAGACTCAACTTGAGACGTTGCGATTGTCGTGCTCCCACCATCCCATCTACTCAATGCTTTCCCCTCATGACGTCACAGGCGGGGAGTGCATTGAGTAGATGGGATGGTGGGAGCACGACAATCGCAACGTCTCAAGGTTATTTGTGTTTAG